TTACGTACATACACTGACGATTCAACCTCAACACCAAACATTTTTGTACGTTGATCAAACAAACAGTTTAATTCTGTGAACAAATCTAATCAATACCCGCAAACGCACCCAAACATTCACAATAACACAATACACAATAAAATACACTAATCCTCATTTATCCATCAAATCTTAAACCCACAGTATTTAAATTGTATATAAATTGATGTTGTTATGCATTCAACTTTTGTCTTGTTTTTAACTTTATTTGCATGTTCCAAGTATTTGTTCTAAATAATTGTTGTGGACGAATGTTGTAGAACACAGCCTCGAAATTCCTTCTGATCAATAAACACAATCACCAGTCCGCAACACTACTCTTGAGGTTACAAGTTCAGCCAGTCTTTTTTTCTATAATTTTAAAGAAGTTTCTACCTGTAGTGAGTGCTGATTTTTGACCATTCTTCTTGGCAAAACTCCCACAATTGCTCAATTTTACCTGAGTTTCTTTCAGGTACTGCCTTGGGTTTAGATCAAGACTTTGACTAGGCCATTCCAAGATTTGAAATCTCTTTTTACGAACCCATTCTTTTATGAATTTACTTTATTTAATGCTTCAATTCATTGTCCTGTTGGAAGTTCCAACCTGATGGACATTGCTTTATCTTAAAATTATAAGGATATTTTTTATGAAAACAAAGCTGTTTCTATTTTTTAACAGATAAATTACTGAGTTTCCTAAAAGATTCAATCTTGCATCAGATGTCTGACATAAGGTATGTAAAATGCATTAATTTTTATTTGGCTAAGTATATGCAGATTATAACAGAAAATGTTTTAAAATGGTAAACAGTTTCTGCATAATAATGAATTATATTCTTTATATTTCCTTTTTAACTAACCTAATATTACGAGCCTCCCTTTTGCATTTGAAAAGTTATGTATCTGAAATAGCACAAAATAAAAAAATGTCTATAATACAATATAATTTATTTTAACTGTTTTTTTCCTGAGTATAAATTGAAATATAATTCAGTATGTTGCCAATAAGTCTCAGAATTTGAAAAACAGAATTTAGATCTGATGCAAAACTTGAGAATTTTGAAAGTAGGCATGGCCAGACTTCTGAAAACTAGTGTAGAATAAATATGTATGTAATATTTTTTTTGGCCTCTTACTTTTTAAAAAAAAAATCTTTCAAGGAGAGTAATTACTTATTCTAATAAACTCGAAATAATCTCTTATGCATTCTGTCCTGGGTATGATGATAAACTACATACAATAGCAAGGCCTCTGATCAGGAGGTTTTTAGGAGTGTGGAACTACCTCTTAATTGCTGGTGTTCCTAGGTCCACCTTGACCCAGGGTGGTAGCACCTGTTAAGGTCTCAGCTTTGGGCAAAAAGTTAACCCCCAAACTGGGATCAAAACACTATGAATGTGTAAAAATAGATTTTAATACCAGAAATATCTTGTAAAAAAATTATTACCAGCAATAAATTTAAAAAAAAAAACAAAAACATATTACCATCAATACATTTTTGGTAAAAAAAATATTACCAGCAATAAAAATTTTGTTGGCATTAAATAACCCATTGAGGTTAATATGCTGTAAAACAAAACAAACTAAACCAGATCATCTTATGTATTTCAGATATTATTTTTGTGTCGTTTCAGCTGTGCCTGAGTATTCAAATCCAAAAAAGGGCTCAGAATATGAAACGAGTAAAAAAAAAAAAAAAAAAAAAAAAAGTCAGCCAGTTAGTCCACTCATATAGATAATATTTCTTGTAAAAAACTTAAACCATTAATTCCCAGCATGCACTCTGTCCCCACAAAAAAAGGGAATAGCCTTCATCAGCAGAGCTTAGTCAAGAATTACAAAACAACTCTTTCTCTCTATTTATACTATTTACATTGTTCGAATTGTTGTCCTCATCTTTATTGCCATATTCACAATGTTTCATCTTCTTCAGTAGACATGCTGGAATTTCAAACCAAACCCTTTATTTAGTCCATGGGAGTAGATTGTTCTAGTTCCACATGCCATGCCTTTTCTGGATATCTCAGTTTCAGTTATTTCCCTTTAGTAACTCAACTCTTCAAGTTTCTGTTCACCTCTGCTGTGGCCAGGAATTGAACTTGCAACTCTTTGGGTCAAGTTACTTTTTGGATTACTCAAACAATTCTTTTATCGACTGGGCCATGTGTCACTCTCTCTCTCTTTACACCAGATGCCTTTGCTGGAACTGGATATCAGCATATGACTTCATTAATCTGAATCCCTGTATGAAATCTTGGTGTATAAAAAAAAAGAAAAAAAAAGACTACATATTCTTACTGTATGTTCACTTAAACCACAGAGCCTCTCTCTTCTACTTGAATATTATTGATTGTAGTAAAAAAAAGAACTTAAATTTCATCTGCTGAATTCTCGCTCCAATAAAGAAGACAAGCCATTTTTGTGACCTCTTGACATCTTATGAGTCAAAGAATTTTACAACCATCATAGTTTATAGAAACCTATGGTTAATGCTGGATTTGTATTTTCATTTTTTCAGTCAGTACTAGATTTTATGGCCTTAAGAATAGAAAAAAAAAAAAAAGAGAAGAAATCTTTGAAATTATATAGTGTAGTTCGAAAGTCATGTCATCTCTACATAACATAATTTTCTATTTTAGATGGTTGATATAAGCTCATACAGTTTGGAAGAGAGAGTTAGGGTGATAAAACTTTCGGACCACCCTGTATAGTTTTTTCTTTCCTTTTTTTCACTCTGGTGATCATATTATTTTTACTTTCTTTTTGTTGATTTATTTACTTATTATTTCTTCCTTATGGTGAACCTAAGATGAAAAAAAAGACAAACATGCTGTCTATTCTTTTTTTTGTATCATCTTGGCTGAGGAGGAAGTGGCATAAGTTTTTAATGATTGGTCAGCAGTGGCATTTATTTAATGAGTCCATTTGTTGCATGCTTGGCGTATTTTTTTTGCTTTAGGATCGCCTGCCGGAATAGTACTTTTTCGGTAGGGTCTCTTGTATGTGAACAAGTATGATGTTGGAAGACCCGAAACTTGTCATGACCCCAAGTCATAACATCACTGACGAGGCAATCCTCAGCACTCGGAGTGTTTTCATGACAAATCTCTAAATTGTTTTCATATCACTTGCTAAAGCGTCCTTAGTAATGGAAATTTGTTTCTTATGGAAATTGATATGGTGTTTATAAAGTTTATTTTTTCTTCTCCTATGAAATAATTATCTGTACACTCACTTGAATGGAATGTGGATGTGTTAAAAGTGGGGGTCACATAGATACATGGGATGAAAATTGCTGAAGCCCCTTTGACATTATTTCTTTTAGTTATATCTTAGGTCTTATCCGAAAGAACAGGTATTTCCTGGCATTTTAGCCCTTATGTAATTCTGGTTGAGCCAGAGAAAGGATTTTTTTTCTCTCTCTCTCATTTTTATTTATTTTTTATTTTTTTTTGTAACTGAACTTCTATTTTTTTGTAACTTAATGTAACTTTTATTTTATTTTATTTTTTTTTTTTTGTAACTCATTGTTAAGTTTCAGTTTGGTAATTTTTGAAATCAACTTCTCCAAATATTTGCATCGGTAGCAATGCAGTTCAATCAGCCTGAAAATTAAGATTAAAAAATTAGATTTTCTATTGCTTTCAAATCAATAATCATGACTACATGAACGCATTGGAAGAAAGGATTCATGGTTTTAAATTGGAATGGTCTTTAAGCCACAAGAGTGCATGAATTAGAATTTGCACATCATTTTCACAGGGAGAGGCTAAATTATTTTCTGGGTTTGGAGTGCAGACCACTCTTGGTGACTGGACTGGGATTCAATTAATACAAATGAAGATTGGCACAAGATTAAGGTCATTGAATAGAAAAGAAAATCTAATTAACAAGAACAAATATTTTTGATTGTTTGTAGCATTTATATGCTGCTTCATTTGAAATACTGTCAAGCCATTTTTTTTTTTTTTTTTTTGGATGACCATTGATACATGAAATGTTGCTAAAAATTAATACCATTAAGTATTTACTTCTTTTTCCTTCTTCTCAACCTGTGAGTGTCTTTTGTTGGGTCCTATGCTTTTCTCAGATTCATGAGGAGGAATTGTCCATTACCATAATCTGCTGGCCTAAGGCATGTTGGTAGGGACAGATGTGATATGCTTGGGTGATAATGACTCAAAAAGTCACATCTTGTGTATATTCAAGTATAGTGTGAGTTTTTCTGATCAGTTTTCTAAGCAAAAAAAATAGTGTCACACTATACATTTTTTTTTTTTTTTTTTTTTTGAAGAGATTAAAAAATAACTTGCATTTTTGGTGACCAGTTGCATTCTACACAGGTAACTTTTTTCTGGAGGGGCTAAAATTTGCACTATATACAAAGTTGGCTTGTCAGGTTACCTCCTCCAAATTTTCGAAATCGCTACTAGGGGACACTTTCTGGACTATAAATACTCGGTGATATATTTTCTTACCCTCCTTTTACTTTTTCTGTTTATACGTCAACATGTAAATCTCTTGCTGAGAACGCATTCTCTTTTGTGAAATGCATGAACAACAACACACACACACACACACACACACACACACGTGTATGCACATTCACTCATGACATATGCTTTGGACCAAAAAGATTTTTACATTCATTTGTTACACAAATTATTGTCTATGTCGTTCGTATACATTTATTTATATATATATATATATATATTGGTTCTTGTAGTTTCTTTTTATTTATTTACATGGACTCACATCCCGAGTCTGCCATGTTTGTTGTGGGCATTTCAGGAGACACGCGTTTATCTCTCAATGCATACACCAGACCACAACAGGCATATTCACTGGCATATACAGTAATAGCCCAAGAGTATTTGCATGTAAGTGAATGCAACAAATCTGACAGGGATTTGAACTCAGCTCTTCAATTTCTCATTCAAAGTCGTTATCCATTAAACCACTCACCCATCACATCCAAGCTGACAGCACCTGGTATTCACAAGTGCTCATCCATCTAGGTACTGACCAAGCACAATATTGCTTAACCTTGGTGATCAGACAAGAACTGGTATTCCAATGTGATACGGACATAAAACTTCAATAAATATGAAATAACTATGGTTTTTATGGGTTTTTTTAATCATTTCACCCCAAGCAAGGCAATAAAGCCACTAAGATGCAGGTGATTACAGTGTGAAAGAATATTAGAAAAAGAAAAACATTAAGGAAAAAGAACAATAATAGAACAGGAATTAAGTAAACAAAAGATAATGATTGACATTGCATTTAAATTTTTAAAGATCAAATTTGAGTGAAAAGCAAGAAAGCAGAAGAGTCCTACAAGCAAGAAGTACAATAGAAGAAACTATTAGCATAGAACTTACGGTTCCATCTAGCCATTTCAACTATAAAATGATGAGACCTTGCTGCCAATCTAGTACTGAACTTAAATTCCTAAAGCCTAGGTACCATAGAGGAAAGTTCATCTGAACAATTACCATGAAAGTATTTAAAGAAAAAGCACAGGGAAGTTACATTATGGACATTGGAAAGGGACTGAAGCTGAGATGCTGGATCAGGACCAATGACATTGCAGATTCCTCTTTAGATTTTATCAATTATCTCTAAATATGTGGCAGGAATATCTAGGTTGTCCTTTGTGATGTCCTATAGTATCCACATACTTCTTCTTGGTGCCTTTTTACATGTGACATCATAGGGATTTCAGGACACACACACACACACATATATATATATATATATATATATATATATATATAAGGAGATACAAGTTGCTCTGTGTTCCCACACTTTATATCTGACTTGAAAGAATTAGGTCTTATCTATTGTTCTGTATGAAAGATCTTTCAAGGCACCATTGTAGTTCTATACCAAATCTTGTCTGTTAGGTTCTGCCATTAACAACATCCAGTATTCTGTGGCTAATGTCTTCATCGTAATCAAGGTAGGAGCGGCTTATGGCCATATCACATTGAAATATTGGTTCCCATACTATCACTTAAGTTAACCAACATCAAGCAGTACCTAGATGGGTAACCACTATGTGCTGGAAAATTAAATGGTGCAAAATTTTGAATCAGAGAGCTGAGTTCCAATTACCTTTGTGTTCATTCTAATTACATACGCACATACATCCTTGGGAAAGGTATGAATCCACCTCTCCTTCTCCAAGGATTAATTAGTAAGACTTGTATCACTAAACCCTTATTACCGAAAAAAAAAAAAAAAAAAAAAAAATAAACAGTTTCTTGAAATGTAAAAATATTTTCTGGCTTTAAATAACCTGGGTTGATAAGCTGTAGATAAATCAATCATTAAAATGTGGTAGGAGTGACTTCTCAGTGCTATGGCTTGCCAAAGGGCAACCCATGATTTGGTTGTTATGTTTTAATTTTAGAGTCACATTTCTTCTAGGCTGGTTGCCAACTACAGCTAGAGAGCCTAGTCTGTCTTGTTATTTAACCTATAGCTAGGGGAGAGAACAGATGGATTCATAACTTTCCGAAGGGTATTTACATGTAAGTGAATGTAATGAACTTAACTGATTTCTCATTCCAAGACACTCAATTACACCACACACACATACTAAATATATCAAATTTGAATGTACAGGAATCCCTCAATTAGTGCAACTAATGTGAAATGTTTAACTTGAAAATTTTATTTATAATCTTTCCATAGTAAATGCATACATCTTTTATATTTCAATATTTTTTAATAAATGTAAATTTCTGTACACTATTTACATCATTCGGACTATTGACCTCATCTTTGTCGCCATATTTATTACAACGTTTTGGCCATTGTACACTCCGGCCTTCTTCAGGTGGTTGGAATGTCGAACTGAAGCCTTTATTTTGCTCACTGAGATAGACTGTTCTAGTTCCACGTGCCATGTTTAATGGATGTCAGTTATCTCCTGTTAATTTCCCTCTGAAAATTCTTCACTGCCTGTTCAGGTCGACATTCCAACCACCTGAAGAAGGCCGGAGGGTACAATGGCTGAAACGTTGTAATAAATATGGCAACAAAGATGTGGGCAATAGTTTGAATAATGTAAATAGTGTGCATAATTTCTCATCTCAGATATATAAACAGATAGTAAATTTCTGTATCTAAATTAAATCATTCATTTTTGTTTTAACAAAAAATCAGAAATTTCCTTTTAAGACCTTCAAAATGAACATGAAAAATATCAAAATATTCCAAAAATTTTAATTTTTATTTGGTGAGGGCGGAGGATTGGCCGTTGATTTCCCCCCAACCAGGTTGATGCTTGGACTTAAGGTAAGCCGTACATTCACTTGTTATCAAGAAAGCGGACAAGCACTTGCTGCCCTGTGTGAGTATAATTTCGCTCTACCGAAAACTCATTTTAATTTTTTTCCTATTTTATTTTTTCCCGTTTCGAAAGAAAAATCAGAAAAAAAGGGAAAATTGAATGTCTTTGCGAAAGTGTCTTGTCAGTATTCTCATGATGTAGTTGGCTGAATCTTCTTGCTTGATAAATTGTCTGAACTTGGAATTGTTTCGCCGTTTCTTTCTCCTGTTGTTCTTAATTTTATTGAAAGCATGTCTCCCAAGACTACTATTTGGTGAGGGCGTAGGATTGGCCGTTGATCCCCCCCACCACCAGGTCAATGCTTGGACTTAAGGTAAGCCGTACATTCACTTGTTATCATGAGGAAGAAAGCGGACAAACACTTGCTGCCACGTATGTTTGGGCATTTATTATGACACATCAATAAATCTGGATAACCTTATTTCCTTCAATTTCTTTTTAGAATAGACAATGGAACTTTTACTAAGTTAAAACTTATTGTTGCGAAAGGGTAAAATCCAAGTGTCAGCCAGGACTCTTTGCAAATTACCTCCCCCACTCACCGTTCCCTCTGTTTTTGTTGTTGTATGTGTTATACCTAATAGGAGTAGGTAGGCTTTCCTACCACCCGGTCAACACTCCTCCCCCTTCTCTTGGACATGAGAAGAGGCTTACGCCTTGTTTCTTGTTTAGGAATGGGTTCCCGGTACTCTTTCTCTCTCTCTCTGGCCTCTGTATTAGTGCAGCTCTGTTTCTCCTGTGATGTGTGCAGTCTGTGGCATCACCTCTTCATTCTGAGGGTACACGGTTGACAGTTCTAGGTTACTGTTTCCGACTGGTAGTTAGGAGCCCTAACTCTTGCGCAGTGTCTTGAGCAGCCACTCTGATCAACAGTTGTATAATACCGGGGTGTTTGTAGTGCCATGTCGCGCATGGAAAGGTGTCCCTGCAGTTACCTCCAGTGGGCAACCCTGAGGCCACATTATGATGCAGATTGTGCCAACTCCACTCTGCCCACATCACGGTCGAAACTATCTGCTTCTTTTACTTCGGGCCTTCTCATCTTCCAACCAAAATTCCACATGACTTACAAAGACCGAAAAAGTAATCCTAAACCAGCCACTCAAAAATCACCTAAACCTCTCAACATTTCGTTCTCCAACATCTGTGGCATTAGAACAAACTTCTGCAGTATGTAATCTTTCCTCACTGCAAACTGCCCAGATATACTGGCTCTCTGTGAGACCAACCTTGTCTCGTCTATCCCCTCCTCTGATCTCTCTATCCCAGGCTACCTTTCTCTCCTCAGAAAAGACTCTATAACCCACATGCATGGCCTTGGTGTCTACGTCAAAGACCATCTCCCTTTGGCCAGAGAGTTCTCTCTCAAATTGTACATGTGTCTCCAACTATCTCTTCTCAATGCGGTAAGCTATCTCTTCTTCCTTTACCGCTGTCCATCCTCTCAAGACTGTGGGATACTTGATAGCATTTCTGACAGCATAGACAAGGCTCTCTCCCTCCACTCGTTTGCTCACATATTTGTGTTTGGCGACTTTAACGCCCATCATACCATGTGGCTTAAGAATGTCACTACTGACCACGAAGGCATTCAAACACTTAATTTTTCAGTCTCTCAATCCCTCTTCTCGATCTGTGTTTTACCATCATCCCCAAGTCCTGTAGCGCCACGCAACTCTGCCCTCTTGGTAACTCTGATTATGCGGTAGTATCTGATAACATCTCCTTCAACTCCACCCCCTGCAAAGAACCTCCTACCATTAGAACTTCGTTCTACTATCAACAAGCTGACTGGGATGCGTTCCGTGATTTCCTTCGCGATGTCCCCTGGGATGGTGTCTTTACGCTCCCCATCCAATAATGTGCTTCTGAGGTCTCATCCTGGGTTAAAGCTGGAATCGACGCTTTCATCCCCTCAAGGAAATATAGGGTCAAGTCGCGCTCCTCCCCCTGGTTCTCCGCTGCTTGCTCAGCCGCCATCGCTCATAGGAACCACTTCTTTCACCTATTCCGTAGTGACATGTCTGACTGCAATAGACGTCATTTGCCTCTGCCCGTAACGAGTGTAAGCGTGTCCTCAATGATGCTAAGTCACTATTTGCTGCTTGGATGAAGGAGCATATTGCATCTCGCAAATTTGGCTCCAAAGATTATTAGCGTCTCTGCAAGAGCGTATTGAACAATTGCAAACCCTCTATACCTCCATTGTTCAACCAGTTTGAAGTCCTGACCTCTACCGACAAGGCTGAATGCTTTGCTCGGAAATTTTCATTCAACTCGACGCTCGACTCTTCCGGTGTACCCATACCCAACTTCCCTCTTCAAACTTAGGCCCTATTGAGTGGGTTAAACATAATCCCGTCTTTGGTATTGGGCATTATCTCCAATTTAGACCCCAACAAGGCTAGTGGTGGAGATGGGATACCAGCCATTGTCTTGAAGAAATGCATGCCTGAACTGGCGCCCGCCCTTTCTAAACTATACAACTATTGCTTCAAGGAATCTTGTTCTCCTGACTGCTGGAAGTCCTCTTCGATTATTCCTGTCTTTGAGAACTCTGGCAACCCCTCTGACCCTTCTAACTACCGTCCTATCAGTCTGCTACCCCTCTTCGGCAAAGTCTTCGAAGCTCTAATCAAGACTGAGATGGTTAACCACCTCACATTCCATGATCTGCTCTCAGACAAGCAATATGGCTTCCGCTTTGCCCAATCTACAGCTGAT